CCGGTGCCATGAGGAGCATGCTGCTGCCCTGGCACAGTGACTCCCTCGGTTCCCTTGAGTAGGGCCCAGGCATCTTTTGCCCGGCCTTGGCTCCCGACCCACCCCCTCCCCCCGCAGGTAAGAGCAGCGTCAGCGTCAGCAAGCAACGGTCAGCGGCAGCCCCACCACCCCCACCTCCGCCTCACACACTCACTGGCCCCTTGCGCGATGGCACGCCGGCATGTTGGCATGGGAACGCCAAGCCCGGCACGGTAGCGGCGGCTGACTGAGTAATGGCACAGCCGACCGCCGCGGCAGGCCACTTTGCACTCCTGCCTGCAATGCATGCACCCTTACATGTGCAGCCTTCTGGTATTTTCATGTGCCTGGGAGATGTGCGGGCATGGGGGCCCATGTGCCCCATGCCATTTGAGTGCCCGGCGGCGGCGCTGCCTGCCGCCGGGAGCCCGCACCAGCATCGGCACCCGTCGGCCTGGCAGGCCTAAGCTGCTAAGGATCCCCACGTCCCCCACCACGTTGTGGGGGTTGCGTGTCCGGCAGGACGGGGAGCGGGGCCAGGGTGGGGTGACCCTGGGACGCTCAGCTGGGGGGAGGGTGGTCGGAGCCATGGAGAGGGTGCTCCATGGTCCACCCCCTCTCTTGATGCCCCTTGATCACGTGTGCCCCCTGCCCAAGGTCTGCTCACGCGGCCTATCATAGCGGGGTGACTGTAACACAGGGTCATTGCCTTCCAGCGGGAGCACCCGCGGGATGAGCAGGAGGTCCGGTCTGACGCCGGCATGAAGGCCGTGATGGCCAGGCTCAGGGCGCAGGCCCGCCTCAATTGACCATCCAAAATCGGATGAGCCAAGCATAGTGCTGCAGCGCACGGCATTTTGGAGTGTTTTTCCTTCGCCACCTCATGTCGGCAATTTCCAGAGAGCAACGCATCGTGCGATCAGTGCACCACACCTTTTTTCCAGCCCCCAACCCTTGCGTTTCCACCACCAACCCTCAAACCCTCCCCCAAGTTTTCCCGGTGTGGCGGTTTCTTTTCTGGGATGCAATGGTTGCCCAGCTCCCCCTAAGCCCCCCATCTGCCTCTGCCCCTTCCCCCTTTTACTGAAGTGCACCCTTCATTCTTACACCGCTTTCTTCCGTTTCACTCGGCATCAATTCATAAAGAAGGATTCATCAGGGTATTGATCTTGCAGCGCAGACTTCAGGATATGCGCTTGGACAAAGGCTGGTCCAATGATGGGCAGTGAAAACATGTTAAAACAGTGAGCAGCTGAGAGAAAAATAAGCTGGCAACAAAACAAGCTAGTGAGGCTAATGGAACAAAGGAATGGCCAGCATGGCAGGGAAAGCGCGGGCGCACAGTCCCGCTCTTATGCAAGATGCAAACACATCGAGCGTCGATTGGGAACGAAACAAGGTGGCAAGGTGCTGCAGCCTAGCGGGTAGCACCTGCGCTCTATCAAGGTTCACAGGCGGGTGGCAGGGGCAGCAGCAGCACTGAAAAGAAGCAAGTGAGGAGAGGAGCGGCCCTGAGGAGCGGGCTCCGTCAGTGCTGCCGCCGCCGCAGCCCCCGGTCGTTCGTGCGCAGGTTTGCCAGCATTGCCTGCATGGCGGTGTGGCCCTTGAGCTGCTGGTCTGGCTTTGTAACGCTGCCCATGCGCTTGACGCGGAGGATGAGGGTGCTCTCATCGGCCACCAGCGAGGAGGAGGTGGTGTGCACCTGCTGCACCCGCATCTCCTCCACCTCCACATGCCCCTGCTGCCGCTGCCCCTGCCGCTGCTGCTGCTCGTCATCCTCCTCCTCCTCCTCTTCCGCCCCCGACCACTGCCGCTGCTGCTGCTGCTGCTGCTGGGCGCCGGCGCCAGCGCCGGCGAGCACGTGCCACTGCTCGCTGGCGCGCCCGCTGCACCTGCCGCCGCCGCAGGGCTTCTCGGCGCGGCTGTCTCCATGCCGCCATGGCAGCGCGCCAGAGGTGGCCTCGCCCTCTGCCCCGTGCCGGCCCTGGCTGCCGCGCTCCCACATCTCCATCCAGTCATCTGAGCCCCAGATGCCCTGTGCAGGGTGGCAGGGGTGCGGAAAACCAGTGTGCAAGAGCCGGGCGGGCACTGCCGGCGAGCACTGCCGGCAAGCAGTGCCGCGACGGCGGTGCTGGAGCTCAGCCCAGCCCCAAGCGCACGCCTGCATGCAGCGCTCCGCTGCAGCACGCAGCTCCTCACCTCTGGATAGGCTGCCGTGGTGGCGCTGGCGGTAGGGCTGGACCGAAGCTTCAAGATGCCTGCAGCAAAAGGCGGGCACATGATGCAGGCGGCACATGATTCAGGCGGGCACACGATGCAGGCGGCAGGGAGGGTGAGTGACGATCACAGCAGCACATCGGCGCCATTTGGGGAGGTGATGTGCAATGAAGCAATACTGCAAAAACGATTGTGCAGAGCAGCACACGACTTGTCAAAAAAGAAGCAACCACGCACCGATGTAGCTCCAAATGAGCAGCAGCGCCACGATTGCTGCACGGTTGGCGGCGGTGGTTGCGGGTGCGGCCCAGCCGTGCGCGGAGGGGCGCCGCCCCTGCAGGCTGCGGGTGCTGGAGACCCTGCTGCACGGTGGCCCCATGGCTGGCGCAGGCGGGCGGAGCGCCCTGGATCAGCAGGAGAGGGAAGGGGACACAATGCTTGTGGGACCCGAGGATACCAGGCGCCATGCGCAGCACCGCAATGACAAGGCCGGGAGGCCCAATGCCACCGCTGCTGCAGCCATGCTCTGCCCCCTCTGATCGCAGAAGCAGGGCAAGGCGACAGCTCCTACTGGCAGGCAGCTTGAGCTGAGCTAGAAGTGCCCGCATCCCCAACATTTCGGGAGGCCACTGATCCCACAGGCAGGAGGCCACAGCAATCACAGCGCCTCTCACCGTGTCTGAAGGCAAACCTCAAGCCCTGCACTTCCCCAGCTGGCTGTCAGCGTTCTCCAGAGCAAGGTACAGCCCCTCCCTGGGCCCCAGATCGTTTCAGAGATATGATGCGTGCAGGTAAATGAAGGGGGGGAGTCTGTTGGATGTCTCGTCTCTTGTGAGGTCGCAGGTGGTCGGCCCATGCACGGCGCATGGCGGGGGCTCCTGAACCCCAGAACCAAACGGAACGACTGATTGAGCGCTCTCAGATGCAGCAGACGGGGCTTGGGGGCATGCTGCAGAGAAGCAGTCCACCGTGGCCGCCGCCCTCCCGGCGGGTCCCCGCCGCCGCAGCCTCCGGGCTGAACATGAGTTTCCCTCTCTAGCTGGCAGTCTGTCACGCCATGCTGGCATGCCAGATATCCGATTACAAGAATAAACGAGGCAGCAGAGGGGCGGCGGGCCAGCGGATGGCAGGCTGGTGCTGCCCGCCGCCGCGCCTCGCTTCCAGCCGCCGCACAGCCATCCGGTGCCTGGAGGCGCCACCGCTGGCCGCGCCGCTTTGGGCAGGGCCCTGCCCCAGCTGACTACGACTCCTTCTTGCTTTCCGCCTTGGATGCTGAGCGGGTGCGGGTGGACGGGCCCTTGCCCTCCTGCAGGGCCCACAGCACGACAGCATGCAGACGCACGGTCTGTGCACCGCCTGGAGGGCACACCACGCGCGGGCCATTCACCGCAGGGCCCAGACCCTGCGGCTGCAGCGGCACGCTGCCGGGACCCAGGCGCGGCCACCCACCTGTGCGCCTTCTGCAGCTGCCGCGCCCTCCTTCCCCTCCTCCTTCTTCTCCTTGCCCTCCTCGTGAGGCTCCTCCTTCTCGTGCCAGAAGAACACGTCGCGCACCTCCCCCCGCACAGCCGCGTGGATGAGCGTGGCCCCCAGCACGCCCGGCACAATGTACAGCAGCGCCGGCTGCGCCGCCTGCGCAGAAGGAAGCAGGGAGGAGGGAGGCACGGTGCCAGGGCGATGGCCAGGTGAGGCACAGCAGCACGAGGCGGGGCTGGCTGGGCGGGTGGCATTGTGGGCCTGGTAACAAACGCCGAGGGCAGGGAAGAGGAGGCAGGCAGGCAGGCAGGCACACGAGGGAGACAGGCCAGGCAGGGCAGGCCAGACCGGCAGGCAACCCATGCAATGCATGCAGGCAGGCAAGCCAGGCAGGCAGGCAAGGCAGGCCCATCCCACCTGGAACACATTCATCACCACAATGGTCGTCACCAGCCCCGCAGCATACCCGCCAAACGCGCTGCAGCGCGGCAGCGGGGGCGGCATCAGGCGCGGCGCGTCGGCGCGGGGCACGGCGCGGGATCGGAAGCGGCAGCTGTGTTATGGCGGCCGCTGGGGCCAAGGCCGGAGCCGTGGCGGCAGGCCAGCTCAGGCCCCGCTCACCCCGCCCCGCACACACAAACTCGCACTCTGCCCGCCACCAGACAATACAGACCCACCCACAGCCACACACACACACACACAGCACACACTGGCACACACATCACACCCCCACCGCCACACACCGTCGACACCCCCCACCCCCCCACCCCCCCACACACAGGCCCACCTGTAGAAGTAGGCCCCCCGCTTGAAGTCGTGGGCGGCGTCGCGGCGCAGCAGGATGGCCACAAAGATGCCCGGGATGACGATGTCGCCCAGCCCCAGCATGGAGAACTGGGCCTTGCCGTCCACTGTAAGGAGGGGAGGCGGGGTAGAAAGAAAAAAATGATGGTTGCGAATCGGAAGGAAAAAAAAGCAGTGCGGCGGCCGGAGCCGCCAAGGCCACAGCTGAGCGGGGCAGGCGGCGGCGCATGTGCGCCGCCCACATGCACAGATGGTTGGCTGCTCAGGGGCTGGTACAGCAAGAATCATACGCGTGCAGCGAAGGCTCCCCGGCAGAAGCGGGCGGGCGCGGGCGCGCGGGCAGCATGCGTGCAGCGCCCAAGGCGCACCCAGGGGCCCCAGGCGTGGGAAGAGCAGCTTGATGGGGGCATCAAAGTTCTTGGCCACATGGACCATGACCGGCGTGCCAAACACCCAAAAGATGTCTGCAGGAAAACAACAGAACAAAAAACAAAACATGAATGCAGGGGTCCAGAGGCGGGCGGGCGAGGGTGAACAGGAAGTCGCTCCGTGTGCTGCCAAGATGGCGGCGGGGCCGGGCCGAGCGCCTCGGAAACGCCAGCGAACAGCACCACAACGGGGGCTCACGCGCCAAAGCCCAGCAGCGGCTGCTGCGCCCCATCGCCATCTGGCCCACACCCGCCGCTGCTGCTGCACCCGCTGCACCGCCCAGCCAGCCACGCCCACTCACCGTAGAAGAAGAGGCCGCAGAGCAGGATGACTCCGTTCTGTACCGCTCCCAGGGACAGATGCTCGATTCCCTGGATGCTGCAGAGAGGGGCAGCCGGTGGGCAGCGGAGGCAGGCAGACGGTCGGCGGGCAGGGCCCGGGGCGGCGGCAGGCGGTAGCCGGTCGCGCCGGGTGGTGGTGGGTGGTGGGCAGGCGGGCGAGGATCGCCAGCGGCGCGGCAGGGCTGCGGCACGGGCCGCGACTAACGCCGTGCGCGCCGTCGCAGCTCGCCAAAGCGGCTTGGGCACCCGCCAGCACCCAAGCAGCAAGAAGCAGGACGGGGAGCAGCCCAGCACGCAAGCGGCAAGCAGCACAAGGAGCAGCCCAGCACGCACGCAGCACGAGGGGCAGGGGCAGGCCAGGCGCACTACCTACCTGAAGGCCAGGCCCAGCAGGTTGTTGGCAAACCAGTGCTTGCGGCGGTAGTACCAGATGCAGAAGGCGGAGGCGGGGAGCGAGATGAGCAGCTCCAGCGGGGTGAAGCTGAACTCCAGGCCCTCCTGCAGTACCAGCAGTACCATGCATTACAGCACATGGCAGTACCGTGATGAGTACCAATTAGCCCCACACATGCGTACACACACACACACACACACACACACACACACACACACACACACACAACGCACACACACCATCCCATACACACACCTTGAGCACCACGGGTATGCTGGGCACTTGCAGCTTGATCTCGTGCGCGCTCCACCGGCGCGGCACCAGCGGCGCCACTTCCGGCTCCAGGCTGGCCACGATGGCCAGCATGCCCAGGAACACAAAGTAGGCTGCGGCAGGGGCGCGTGGGCAGGGGCAGCAGGGTGGAGCGGGGCAGGGTCTGAGGGGGTCAGGGGCAGGTAGGGCGGGGCGAGAGGGCAGCAGGGTGGGTGGAGGGTGTGTGTGGGGGGGCAAGCACGCACGGCTGCGGCCGTACGCTGCAGCCCCGGGAAACAGCCAGGGGCAGGCGAGCGGCGGGAGGCATGAAGGAGGGAGGCTGCTGCTGCAGGGCGGCTGCGCGGGGCGGGAACCGAGCAATAGGCGCACCGCTGAGGATGGCGTTCACCACCTCCTTGGGCAGGAACTTGAAGGCGAGGTAGAGGGAGAAGAGGACCAGGGAGCCCACCAGCGGGAACTTCATGGCGTCCTGCAGGTGGAGTTCCATAGAACATCATCTCGTGAACCGGATCCAAAGGGTTGCGAGCATAGGCGGCAAAGGCAGGAGCGGGGCAGGTGGGGAGCAGCTGAGGTGGCGATCGGGGAGGTGGCAGCATATGCTGCGTGGCGGTGGAGCTGGAGGAGGCAGGCAGGCATGGCAGGGGCAGGCGCGCAGGCGGCGGGGCGGCGGCAGGCGGCGGAGCGGCAGGCAGCGGAGCGGCGGCGGCACCTTTTTGGACATGGCCTCAGCTGGCGGCTCGGGCTTCACCGACCTCCAGCTGCCCACCCACACCGTCAGGGCCGCCGTGAGCACGATGTTGGCGTTTGTGGGGACGTGAAGCACCAGCGGCAGCAGGGTGAGCAGGGCCAGTGCAGCGTGGCCGATGGGGGCTGGCAGCCCCGCTGGGGCGGCGTCAGGCATCGCGATGGTGTGTACTGAGGGCGGGCGGTGGGTGCCGATCACCGTGTCCTGGCAGCAGAGCAGGATGGGAAGCGCGACCTGTGTTTGGGGGAGCTCTGGCAACCTGCTTCAGCAGGTGCGAGTGACAGAGGAAGCAATGGGGCCCATCTTTGCTGCTGGCACGCGCCCAGCTGGCAGGCTGCTTCATGCGGGCTCCACCCGCTCTCCTGGCGCAATGCAGTAACCCTTCCCGCGATCACCCTGCCGCACGACTCTCGCAAGCCTCACCAAACACAGGAAAATAGCTGTGGGTGCCCTGCTGCCCAGCCCCTTGCAGTTTCGGCGCCTGCGCACTCGGGCAGTGAGCCTCGCCTTTCGTGAAACGCGTGGTGGTTCGTCTGAGCCTGACACCAGGCGCTGAGCGCCTCGAGGGTCGAGGCTGGCAGTCCCCATGGAGGACTTGGACGCTGTGGGGCCCTTCGGCCTCACAGACGACGACGAGGATGATGTGGACCTGGAGGTGAATCGGCAGGGGCGGGGGCGGCCACACAGCCGCCGCGCAGCGGCGCAACCCTGGTGCCCGGCAGCGGGCGCCTCGGGCACCTCTGCCTGCCCAGGCGGGGCGGCCTGCAGGGCGCCCCTCTCCATCTGGGCCAAGTCAGACAGCGCCGACGCGGGCTGCGGGCCTCCCAGGCCTGCACGCCGGGGCTCCGCCGCTGCCACCACGCGCTGCTCCTCCCACCCACGCCTGCTTCTCGCCGCAGCTCCCGCTCCCCGGTGCCCGACCGCCGCCATCGGCTGCCCCGCCGCCGCTGCAGGTGTTCAGCGATGACGAGGATCTGATGCGGGACACCACAGCCGCGCAGCTGGCGGCGGGGCGCGACATCCAGGGCATACCCTGGGAGCTCACGCAGTACAGCCGGCAGGGGTACCGGGTGCGCCGCCCCCCCGCTGCCGCCGCTCCTGTTGCCACTCTGCCGCTGCTGGTGCCGCCGCCGCGGCTGTTCCCGCTGCGGCGATGCCGCCTGCTGCTGATGCCGCTCCTGCTGCTGTGCTGCAACCGCTGCGCTGCCCTCTGCCTGCGGCGAGGGCGCTGGACCGGCGGCCTGGTCTGCGGCGGCGGCTTAGCGTGCGCCCGGTGGTACTGCAGGCGGTACGCAACGAGCAGTACCACAACTACTTCAATCTGGAGGAGGAGGTGGTGGCGGCGCAGCCCTCCCTGGCCGCCGCCGCCGTCAAGGCCCGCGCCGGCGCACGCTTCTTCGACTTCTACCGGTGCGCGGCGGAGGGCAGCTGCGGCTGTGTTTGTGCTGGTTCGGCTTTGTTTGTGTTGCTGGTGGGGCAGCGGCAGGCAGCGCGCCGCAGCTTGGCCTCGCTTGGTGTCGAGTCTGTGGGCGTGAAGGGCGAGCCTGCGCGGGCGGGCGGGGCTGGGGGTGGCATGGGACGGCTGACGCTTCGCCTGCGGCCCCGTTCGGCTGAGCCCGGGGGCGGTGCTGCGCCGGCTGCTGCTCCTGGCCGCAGGAGCTGGCGCCAGGCACGCAGCAGCATCGTGCACTTCCAGCTGCGCAACCTGCTGTGGGCCACCAGTGGTGAGGCGGGGCCAGCACGTGCCGTGGTGTGGCTGCCGGCCTCCTCCAAAGCATGCTGCAGCAGCGGGCGTGTGCAGCAGGGGAGAGCGCTAGGCCGAGCTCCGCCGCTTGCGCTCCTCGCCTTTGCCTCACCGCGCCCGCCCCCTTCCCTGTGCTCCCTCGTCCCCCCCCTGGCGGCACCGCCCGCTGCTGTTCATCGCATCTGGCCGCTTGCCCACGCAGCCCACGACGTGTACCTGGTGCACGAGAACAAGGTGCAGCACTGGAGCAGCGTGACGCAGCGGCTGACCACGGTGATGGATGTGTCGGGCGGGGTGACGGGGGCGGTGGCGCCCGGCATCGGCCAGGTGCAGCTGTGCACGCTGTGCGCCAGGTGAGGCAGGGGAGGGGGACGCTGCCGGGCTGGGAAGGGGCATGCTGAAGCGCTGGGGGCGCCAGAGGCTGAGCCTGGGGCCTGGACCTGGGAGCGCGGCGGCCAGCCGTGGGGGTGGACAGCGGAGATGGAGCACTGGCGCAGCTCCGGGCGCCAAGCGTGGCGGACAAGGGGAGAGCGGCGGCTGCCAGGTGCCGTCCCCGGGGTTGCTGGCGGCTCCCCAGCCCGGCCCTCGGCTGTGTGTGCCCCTGTGCCCCTGTGCCTGCGCAGGGAGGGCCTGGTAGCGGGCGGCGGCTTCAGCGGGGAGCTCGTGGCGCGGCGCGTTGGCTCAGAAGACAAGTTTGCGTGCAGGTGGGGGGGCTTGGCAGCCGGCCCATGGCCGCGCACCTGCCGCCCGTGCTTGCCGCCGCTGCTGCTGCCCGCCGCGCTGCGCCGCGCTCCCAGCGCGCCGTCCGCCCTGCCGGGGGCAGGCGCTCGGCGGCGGGGCGAGGTGGGCTGCGGCCAGGGCACCTTTGCAGCGCCTTGCAGCATGGTCCCGTGTCGCGCCAGGACCCAGCACGCCACCCCCGACCCACCCCTCCCTCCCTTCCCTCCTGCCCTTCCCCACCCCGCTCTCGCCGCCGCCGCAGCATGCGGGTCACCACCAGCGACAACGGCATCACCAATGCCATAGAGATCCTGCGGCCGGCGGGCGGCCAGGTGCGGGTGGTGTGCAGCAACAACGACGACAGCGTGCGCGCCTTTGACGCCGCCACCTT